GTTTGTGTGTGTGTCTGTGTACTTGTTTGTCCATGTGTTTTTGTGTGTGTCTCAGGGGTGATCCTCTACATCCTGCTGGTGGGCTACCCTCCTTTCTGGGACGAGGACCAGCACAAGCTGTACCAGCAGATCAAGGCTGGGGCTTATGATGTGAGTCTCCTCTCCCGCTCTCTCATTTCTCCCTTCCTGCTGTAATGCCCTCCCCTCCCCTCCCACTGCCCTCTTTCCTTTTTGGCTGCTATTACATAACTCAGTCACCTCATTCATATTTCAGGGGGTGCAAGGAAATGAGCCTCACCTTAGAACACATGGCATGGAGATCAGATTGAGCTCCATGTCAGACAGAGATAGTGTGAGAGAGAGAGAGTGAGTCTTCCTGAGTCTGGCAGTGATTCTGGGCTCATAGGACACAGTGTTTATGCCTAAACACAACAGGACCTGATGGGTTGAGAATTTCTTAACAAATTGCTTGGGGCTGTGTTGGACTGGCCTTTTGGTATCGTTAAACAACACATCCTCAGGGAGCCACAGTGGCTGTAATGTTGGATGGACGTCTACTGGCAACATCCTGAGGTCATGTGTGGTTAGGGAGCTGGGTTGTTTGTTAGTCCCTCTGTGTTTCTCTGCTCTGCAGATTTCCAACAAAGACATGTAAGCTCTAAGTAAAGCTGCTATTTTAACACATTGGGGTGTGTTGCATACAAAGTTGCATTTCAGAATTGTAATATATTCTAGATGCAGTGCAAGGAGGGTAAGCCACAGAAGTTTCATTGCTGAACAGTCTGGATGTTCACAGTGCTGTGTTGAAGCATTTTAGTGGAAGGTTGACTGGAACAGAAAAGTGTGGTAGGAAAAGGTGCACAAGCATAGATTTAGAAAGGATGTAAGATTGCCATAAACAGCTGGAAATGAGAAGGTAGTCAGAACCACTAAATGTTTAAAGATGAGCCTGAGCTGAGGAGAGCAGCAGCATAGAACAGAGCAGGCATCAGAAACGGCACTTATTAAGACAGAAACGGGAAGAAAAGAAGGAGCTGGGGTAGAGGTGGGTTGCAAAGCAGCCTACAGTGCTAAGGATATGGTAACTTAGAGAGCCAATTGGATAAATAGAGATAAACACAGATATGTGTTAATTTTCAGATGGTGGTTATGAAGAACAATTTTGAACAGATTTTTTATAATCTTAGAAATGACCTTGAAAATTGTTTAAATTGCTCCCCTTATGTGAGGTGTTTAGATGAAGATAGGCAGCAGGTCTAATATGAAAATATGTTTTAAACCATTTAAAGACTATCTAAGGACATTCTATATCCTCTCTGTGAATGTGAGCGTTATGTTTTCTCTGCCTCTAGTTCCCTTCCCCAGAGTGGGACACAGTCACCCCAGAGGCCAAAAACCTGATCAACCAGATGCTGACGATCAACCCAGCCAAGAGGATCACTGCTCAAGAGGCCCTCAAGCACCCATGGGTCTGCGTAAGTGTCCTCTGCTTGATAGACAAGCAGACAAAAGTTATTTATACACATCTGGAGTACACTACTTAGTGCCTTAAATGCAAATCTAAAGAAGGCAGACAATGTTCTTTTATCTTTTTCTTCTCCCTGAATATAATTCTGTATTTGTCACCCTCTTCCTCTACCCACCCCACTCCTCTTCTTCTGTCTCTTCTTCCTTTTCTCAGCAACGATCCACAGTGGCATCTATGATGCACAGACAGGAGACCGTGGAGTGCCTGAAGAAATTCAATGCCAGGAGGAAACTCAAGGTCTGTTTGCATACTCACCCTATTACACTTCTTCCCCTTCTGCTCTAATAAGCTCTCAGTCCTTCTGCTGCTGTCCTCACTCACTTTTATTACCTCATTACTTACGTTTACCAAAGTGATTCAAGAAAACATAAGTGGGTTTAATTGGCCTGCAGTATAAAATATAGCATTTGCATCATCTATATGATATTTACATATGCAAAGACATTTCAAATTTTGATTCAGTGTTATGCATGGTTTCCCTTTTACACTGATTTATTGCTTAGATTTTGTGTGGACGTAACAGCTTAGCCATTGGAGCATGACACTGTTACCCTGCTGCTTTTGGCCACTCTTGGCATGGCTTAAATACCAGCACATGGCAAGCCGAAGTGCAGGTGGCTGCAGGCAAATGTTGCACCATTCAACTAACATGCCAACAGCATCAAACAATTGTCTCAGGCTTTTCACATTTAAAGTCAAGTGGCAAGGTTAGATGTTTTGCTACATAGTGAACAGAAACTGCAAAACACAACAAAAAATATAAGAAAATCAAAGCATGCACAGTATGAAAAGAGGACAAAATGTACAGACAATCAATCTGTGATTTAGTGCATTTAAATAAAAATGAACCCAATAACAAATTTTAATTGAATAAATCCAATTCCAGGTTTATGCTCAAATTTAGCATACTATGAATAACTTATGGTCTTCTGGATAGTTCCTAAAGCAGGGCCATGTTTTATGTGTTAGTGGTCAATAGAAAAAAATCTACAATAACCTTTCTGCACACTTAATTTATAAGTTTTTAGCTTTTAGAAACTCTAGTCCATGACAGGAGGCCAATCGCAAAGAGGTGATATCCAGATTTAACACAGGAAATAAGAAGGGAGGCCCAAAGCTGATGCATTTCAAGCTGAGAGAGTGGGTTTTAAATTGTGCGTCGAGCCAAAATTCAAAATTGACTTCTTTTTAGTGTGCATTGTCTGGTGAGGGGCTAAAAAACTGAGAGTGAGAGAGTGGAGAGCATCAAGAGGAGGGCTGTTTATTTCCAAGCTTTTTTGTGTACTTTGTTTTTTTAAGTCTTTTTTTCTAGATTTTACTCTAGTGTAGCTTTAATTTTTTGTAATATGTTGCATAAAATCATTTAGAGATGCAAAAATCTCCTAGACATTTACTGCCTGTTCTTTTCTCTTTAATTCTGAATTTGAGCTGGATATTTCAGATGTGGGCTTCATATTTATTTCTGTTTCTATTTTCCTTTTAGACATTTGTTACTGCCACTCTCTTCGCTCTGATTATGTGTGTTATGTGTTATCTATTCTGATATTAGGCATATCATCATCCCATCATCTGTTTGAAATTCAAAACCATGTTTGAAAAGTTTTCGCCTCCAGTTTGAGATGATTTCTCCAGAGAAAAAAAAGTGCTAAGACGAGCTGCTTTCTCCATTGTTCTTTGTTTGTTCTCTCTCTTCTGTTTTTTTGCTTGTCCTTTGTCTCCTGTCTTTGTATCTCACACATTTTTGTTTGACTAGGACAATACTGCAGAACATTTTCGTGTGCCAGGCTATTATACGGACTCACTTTG